ATCAATAGTCATGAACTCCAGCATCTCCCACGACCAGATGGATTTAGCAAACATCTCATCTATTCTACTATGTTTTGTTTCTTGTAGAAGCAGCACATCCACTCTACTTTCCTTAATAATCTGCCTAACTCTACTTGTTTTCTCCAATCTCCCCAACCCTCTAACATTCCACGTCATAATCTTCATTGATCACTAACTTTACCCCATATTAGACCCCTACCCTCTTGGTCAACTAGGCTTGACCCAGTCTAACCCTTTTCCCCTTTTCAAATCTATCTTCATCTTGAAGCTCCAACTACACAATTTTTTGAACTACTTCTTGTGAGAACCCGAATATAAAAATTAAGTAAATAATTAAATAATAATAATATTACAATCTCAAATATTTTGGTGGTGAATCCTAAAGTGCAAATTAAATATTTGGAGGATCTTTTAATTAATTTTAAACCTAAAATAAATTTATGGTGAAAGTCTTTAATTTAGAGGCAAGATTTATTATTTAAATAAATAAATAAATTTAAGTGCCAAATTAGTAAGCATATTTTGATCTAATAATATTTGTATTTTAATGGAGATAGAAATTTAAAATAATATAAAGAGATAATAATTTAAAACCTTTTGTTTAGATATAAAAAAAAAACAACCCTAGTTTTCCTAACAAAAGCCCTAACCCTTATTATAATTTTTTTTTCCACAAAACTTTCAACACATAGCAGCCGTGAGAGAAAGAAATGAGAGAGGGGAAGAGAAGCTACGTTCGGTGTCTCTAGGAATCATCTGAATCTAAAGCAAATTCTTCAAGGTAGACCAATGTTTTAATTGTTTTGTCTCTTCTTTTACTTTTTTTTTCCCCTTCTTTCTTCATTGTGATGTGCCACTATTTTGGGTATTCTTGAGTACTCTTTTGGGTATAGTGTATGGCTTGTGTGCAGAGGTTATTTGGAGGCTAGAATGTATGGCTTTGGTAAGGTGAAGGGCTGAAGGTGTGTTTGGGTGGTAATGGGTCAAATTGTGAGAGTGTAACGTAGAGGGTGTAGATTGTAGTCTAAAAATTCTGTACAAAGTCACAAATTTTAAAAATCAAGAAACCATATCAAACGGATGAATTTTGAACTGAAATTTTTTACAGTAGATCAATTACATATTGAATTGCATATCTGAATTTTTTCATAATTTTTGGGAGTCAAAACCCATATAAATTGAGGTATTCAAATTTGTCCAGGAAACCAGTCCGAAACAGTAAATTCGGGAGTGTTGTTCTCTTTGGGTATAAATCTGAAAATTATCAAATTAGTGTCATTGGAACCGGTTATGAGTCTAGTTTCTTACATTTTTGGCCTTGCATTGATTGCTCGTGTATATTAAGAGAACCGTCAATTTCTTTAAAGTGCTGCAGAAAACAACCTGTTTGGATATAATAAATTGTAGATAATTATTTTGATAAGAAAATCAAGGGAAACCAATTGGGTTTGAAACTTAGGATATATTAGTTGATATCTAGAGGGTTTTATAATTTTTCGAACAACGTGGAGTGGGTTTTTAATTTTCAAAGTTAGCGAATAAATTGGAAAAACTCTGTTTTATCTTAAAGTCACTTTTAGTTAAGTTTCGATCGGAACCTATGTCTTGGGTGATTTTAGACCTTGAAGAAGATGAAATTAGGTAATATTTAAGAGTAACGGTGAGTTGGGTTGAGCCGTGTTAGTGCGCTTTAGTTTGGGGTTACTTAGTTTATTATTCTCTTTAGTATTTTTAAATTAGTAGTGACGTGTAGTCTTCATACTTGGTTCAGGGCACTAGTTGGACTTTCATACTTTATTCGAGGATTATATTATTTTGTTTTCAGGTGAGTAGTTTCATGCTACATATTTTTATAAATGTTTTCCTATCCTGAACTGTTGGAAAATTAAATTGTTGTTTCATGACTAAACTGTTTTGATAAATTATTATATTATCAATTGAATCAAATTATTTCTGAAACGTGTGAACTTGGCATACTGTAAACTATTTGTTTGGTCTCATGTTTATAATGATGAACTACCATGTTTTGCGAAACTGTTGTGTATTGATTATTGGGACCATATGTGTATTTAGTCCAGGGAAATTATTCCACTGTGTGCGGTGACTCTGGCCACTAGGGAACAGATCCGGGTTGGGCCGTGATGACTCTAGTGCTCAACGATTGTAAGGAAAAGACCTTAAAAAAAAGCTAGGTGACCTTCAATCGGATTGTCTTTGAGAAAAGGCCCAGGTGCCACCCTGAGGATGACTCTTAGTTCGGTATTGGATCCAACGGGGCTTATGGCCTTGAGAACTGTGTGGCATATTATTTGTTTTTCTTGGTATCCAAAAAATTATTGGTGTTCATGTTTTAATCTGTTTTAAGTGAAAAATGTCATTTATCATGTTCTTGCGAGACATGAGTATTTTAAGTGTTGAATTGTGGAACCTTCTTTTTGAAACAGATTATAATTACCAAACTGTATGCCAATCTAGTTTCTGTAATATATATCTTATTTTGGAATTGAACCCTGTTTTCAAAACTGTATTTACGATCCATGTTGCTACTCACTGAGCTATCAACTAACTTAGTTGTTTACCATTTCCAGGTGTTAGAAGGACTTAGAGTGGACTCATGGCGTAGCGGGGACTCAATTGCATGGACCTCTAGGGCATTTATTTACTTTGTTTTAGGTTGCTTTGTCGAGTTTTGTGCATACATTGTGGTTGGGTTTTATTTAGAATTATTTTATTTTGTGGGCGGTTTGTGTCCCATTTAGTATATATATATTTTTAGGAAGTTGGTTATGACTTGTTTTTCACTTGTGGTATGTCACTGGATTCAGTGTTGATTTATTTATTTCTGGGCTATCATCACATTTATTCTTTATGGTTTTGGGTTCATGTTTAGGCTTATGTGTGCCTTGGGCTAAGTCCTTGTGGGCCACGGCCGGTCATGCCCGGATTTGGGGTGTGACACTTCTAACTCTTTACCATCGCAGTCCATGCCCAAACTTTTACCGACCTGCAAGGTAGCTCATGTTTCCTCAATCATCATCTTCTTCCTCCTACTCAGTTGACTACTCTGTGAATAAGAGCGGGTAGAGCAGTAGCCGCTGCCCTAAATACTGCTCCTCCTTGGAACCCATTCAAAAAAGATGTTTGAGTTTTTTGCATTCTCTTCCTCCCTCTACCTCTTTTGCCTCGAAGTCCTCCCATTCTTCTTTGGTTAGAATTTGATTTGACCACCACTTTTCGTCTAGAAGCTACTGCTTGAACACCCTCACCCCTGGTAACAGCTGGTAACACCCATGTTGGACTCAACATGGGTTGAACCCCGGCACTATTAACTTGATCAAGATCCAAATTATGTGCTTCCAACCTAGGCCCATTACTAATATTCCGTAAATGGGCCCCTTCTAAAACCACTTGAAAATTAATACTAGGCCCAACCATCTCAGATCCATTACAACTTCTAACAAAACCAGGGGTCACAATTGTACCTTCAACACCTACTTCTCCACTCTCATTCCTTTTTGTTGGAATCATCAAACTCGTGCCCCCGTTTGGTTTCTCAACACTGCCCTCGGTACCAACCAATTTGCTTTCTGACACTTTACTATCATTACCAGCCATACTGATATCCTTTCTATGCTGCACGTCAACAGATAAAACATCCCTCTGCAGCTTGTCAACATTACATTGGGCCACCTCATCTGGACACTCCACTTCGTTATCCCTAACCTCGACCCCTTTGGCCAGCTCAGCATAACCTCTCTGATCACCTTCAATCTGGGAGCAACAGTCATACTTCTCATCACCATTAATCTGCTTCAAGCTTTCAATAGATCCACTTTTACTCCAATCTGGTCCTTCCAAAGCCTCAGGACATTCACAAACCCTTACAGGATACAACTCACTGTTGCAGCTCAACCTTATAGTCCTGTTAATAAACTCCATATTCCCTGTGATAATTCTTATTTTTCCACAACAGAAAGAAGCATTCTTGATGCTATCCTCATGAAGCTGCACCACTTCTCCCCAGACAGCCCCTATCCTCTTGAAAGTATCCACACTCCATAAATTAAAAGGGACCCCATAACAACTAACCCAAACACATCTCTCCTGATTCGTACTGCATCCCTTAGTCCACTCTTCCATTGAACTGCACCATGCAAATATCCATTCCTTAAGTTTCTCCTTCTGCCTTTTCATCTGCATAACTGATGTGAAAGATAAAATTGCAATCCTACCTTCACCTGCTCTAATTTGTACCTCCTTCAACCCTCTCTTCTCACATTCCTTCTTAAAATCTGAAAAAGCGAAAAAACTATAAAGCTTGACTATCAAGCTTTCATACAGCCACCCATTACCTATTTCACTGACTTGAACCACAATTTCCTTCCTTCCCTGTGCAACTTTTTCCCCAACAACCTCAGCATAAGACTTTATCTTCTGAAGCTCTTGCCTTTTCTGAATACCTCCTCTATGAACAACACTGTTCATGTTCACTTCCTTTTTGTATATCCTTTGTCTAAAACCCCCTTGTTGCTCGACTTTAAATTGATGATGTATTGGGTAACCTTATCAAATAAAATGAAATTTCTATTTCATTTATGAAATAGAATGAATCAAAATCCATTAAACTATTTACTTTATCAGAGTTGAATCCATGACTTTTTTTTTTTGGACTAAGCCTCTAACGTTCTATTTGGTTAGGGAATTCTATTTGGTTAAGGAATTTGAGAAAGAATTTAAAAAGGAAAAGGAAAAAATTATGTGAAACTAGATGAAATGTAGGTGTATTTTATTAACATTCTACTTATATATATATTTTTTTCTTTCCATATTCTTCAACCAAACACAGTGTAAGAGAGTCATGTAGTCAATAGGGCTAGGCTAGCCTAGTTGGTTGCAGACCAAAAAGGAAAAAAAACAAAACAAAACACAACTGGAAAGAAGGGCCTAGAAGTTAGGAGTGATTTGAATGGTCATCTCACCTTGATTGCTATTGCTTGAAGACGTTGAGTTTGAAACCTTAATTCCAAGCTTTGCACAGTCAGAGCCAAGGGCACCTAAATCAGAAAACAAGATACAAAAACAAATATTAGGAGCCACAAAATCATTGGTTAAAGTTCACTTTCACCATAAAAAAGAACAGAAGGTCGGTGGTGGTTAGTTAAATGTTGCATATGTAGAAATATTATCCAGTTATTCTATTTGGGCAAAAATCAATCACCGAATTAGACACAATCCTTTTTCATGGGTGTATCAGTTCATTAATCAACTTTTGTATTCGTAGACATTTTCAATTATATCGACATATGTACATGTAGAATCAAAATAGAAGAGAGTTTTGAGGGCATGGATTAATTCTTACAGTCACTGTAGCAGGGGAAGGCAGTGATGTTGAGAAGATTAGAGTAACCAGGGTTGCATTGGCAAGTATGCGTCATTGTTTTGTTCTTTGTGCATGTTCCTCCGCCACAATAGACCCAATAACAAGCTACAAAACCCATAATCAAATTATTAATATTAATTAAGGTAACCAGATTATATCCAGAAATAAAAGAAAAATTAAATGATATTGATGGTAAGAGTAGAGAGGGTATAGTGTGAGTAAGGATGATTACGATCAAATAAAGATGAATTTAATGGAATAACGGATGGAGCTGGAGGAGCTGCTGGCATGCACGAGTAGTCAAGAGAACCTGCAACCACCAACCAAAATCAAACCATTATTAATTCCAACACTAAACTGCACAAATAATATTTGTATGTATATAAACACACCAACTACTGTTTGATTAAAATTAATTTATAAGATGAATTTATAACATGTTTCGGCAGATTGCTGAAAAGTTGTGTTGTTGTTATTGTTGTTGTGACTGTTATGCATTTTCTACTATTTTTATATTTTGTTTAAGCCAAGTCAATAGTAATATTATGTTTGAGTTTTGATTTTGTAAAAGATTTACAGAGACGAAAAAGAAAATAGAAATTGAAAAAAAAAAAAAATTCAATTTCTGCTTAATTTTTTTATCCTTCATTCACTATTTTTAATTTTATTTTTTTGTCAAAATTCGAATACAACCTAAAGTAACTTGATAGTTGAGAGTTTGAAAACTTTTTAGATAGATATTGTATTTGTTTATAAGAGAATTATGAGAGAGAAAGAAAAGAGTAGTAGGAAAATTAAGAAAGAGAAGAGAAGAGAGGGTAAATTACAATTAGGAATAACGCAGGGAAGAAACAGAAAATCCTGTTCACTGTCAAGACGGGTACGCTTCCAACCATTTTCACATTCGCATTTGAAGCCGAATGGGCTGTCAAGTGCTACACTGCAATTTCCTTTTCCACATTCCACTTCTTTGCATATATTGTCTGTGTACACACATGCATTCACATTCATGAGAGAGAGATTATATTATTATTTTGAAAAATGTTAGGGATCTAAATATTTAATGAAGGCCATGTTTGTTTGGGCGGACTGGATTAGCATTCCCATGACTAATAGTCTTAGGATTACGAATCCGTTGGATTATGTATCTTATCTTAACTAATAGTCAAGTTTAAAATAATTAGTCCATACTTCAATTGTTTAACCAAATATCGGATTAATAATTTTATTGGACTATTAGTCTAATCCCAAGCTCATGTCCACCCAAACAAATATGGCCTAAATGTTTTACTAAATGTCTTACATAACTGTGGGACTTATATTGTGTGGAACTGTGTGAGATATTTGGTAGAACATTTGATAAAATATTTGGTGGGAGTCCCACACTCTATGAGACATTTAGTATATTATTTGATAAAATATTTAAGGTTGCTAGCCTTACTCTATTATTTTTTTTATCTACGAAAGTTAATTATTAGTCATTAAATTAGCACGAGAGATATCACTTACCAGCGTAAGGAACGAGAATAGGTGCGATGCCATCATATGCTTTAGCACTCAGAGGAAGCACAACCGCAGCAAGGATAATAGCTACAAAAGCCATGAAACTATGGGAAGCCGCCATCTGTTTCAACTTTCAGAGAGAGAAATAGAGAAAGAAAGAGAGTGAAGCAGGGATATGGTGGTGTTGTATTCAGTCGGGGATATATATATATATATATATAAAACCTTGTGAAGAGGGTGGCTTGGGATGAAACATCAGGATAATAATATTGTCACAATGAATTAAATGCATGGTTTGAAATTAAAGCTTTCAATTCCTTGTATTGGTAGGTTAGTTTGAAGATGTCAAATGAGATAGAGATTTTCATATGCAGTTTAATGCTGACAAAAACAACCAACCAACTTAAATGAAATTGCATAAAACGACAGAGCGATTGGGAGTGATGGAATGAGAGACGGGGGCATTTCTCTTTTATTTTGTTTTATTTTATTTTATTTTAGGAGTATTAAAAATTGTTAAATAAAAAAGTGTAAATTACAACTTCTCTTCAAGTTTGGTGAAAATACAATAAATTCTAAAGTTTTGATATAATTACATTAAGTTCCCTTATGATTTTAATTTATATAACACTTAGACCCCTTTCTATTAATAATTTGTTATTTATGTTGATGAAAATACTATGCTACACACCATAATGGTGTGCACCATATGCATTTGTTACACATTTTTGTGATAAATATTACGTATTTTGTAGTAGGAATTATGATAATTTGTAATTCAGAAATAAAGTTACGCATTTGGTGATAGTGTTATATATTTTTGTGGTAATATTACATATTATTTTATCCAAACTTTTTCTAACCACAAAATATATAATACTATCACAAAATGCGTCACATAATCACAAAAAAAGTAACTTCATTTTTCAACCACAAATTATCATACCTTCTATCAAAAAAATATGTAACATTTACTCCAAAAATACATAACACATACTACAAAACACAAGTAACGATGTACATATGGTACACACCTCATAGGATTTCCTCACTCAGTCGTAACATTTGTGATATTTCATTTTGACATATTGAGGTGTTAGTTATGAGTTGATTATGATTTAGTTACACACATTGTGATGTGAGTAATGACTCATTGTGATGTTAGTTATGAGATTATTTTAGTTATAATTCAAAAAGGTCTTTAGTTACATCCTATGGTAATAACTTTATTTTTATTATTTTTATTTTAAATAACGACTTTGAAATGATTCAGTTATAATATTTGATATAATCAACTTCACAAATATTATAACTTGTATTAAATACATTTATTTTAGACTAGTTTCAAAATGTGAATAACAAAGATAGTCACAAATTCTTTCTTTTTACATACTAGTAATCTTCTCTTCATTGTCGTAATGGCTTATCATGTTTCTTTCATAGTTCTAAATATCGGTCGATACGCTACGTATCGGCCGATACGTATCGGAAAAATGGAGTACCGCGACGGATACAGGCCGATATATCACTGAGATTGAAAATCGCAGGAGTATCAGCTGAGTCCCGGTACGTATCGGCCTGTAAGCGTTACACAAGCCGCGACGGGCCGATACTCACCGGTTCGGACTGGTATGGGAAAGAAAAAGTTGAAAAACCTTTGAAATGATTTTTAAAATTTCACCACCGCGACACCCGATTCCCGATACGTACCGATCAATACTACCGATACCGATACTCCGCGATCGATACCGTTACATTATCCGATACCGCGATTTAGAACCTTGGTTTCTTTTTGAGTTCCTGTAAGTCTACTGTTTCAGGAAAAAAAAAAAAAAGAAAAAAGAAGCATTATTTAGGTTTATCTCCGAAGTCCACAGTATTGTTGAGCCTTATGGACCACCAAGGTGCCCATCAAGTGGTTCGTTTCGATTTGAATGGTATATTTTGTGTAAATTATTTTTTCAAAAAAATTAATCCGATAATCCTACCTTATAATTTATTATATTGTATTTTAAAATGAATAATCTATTTTCAAAATTTTAGTTATGTTATCATATTTTTTTAATATATATATATATATATATATATAATGAAATTATATAGTTATGATTATCAAATCAATCTTTATTTTTTTTATGGACGATCCACACATAAAACTTGATAAAATGATTGATTCCTATTATCAAAATGAAACTTGTATGGTAAGTCAAGATGTTGCCATGGTTATTCATTTGAATTTATTAGCGTTCTTGGGGAAGGTTTTTTCATAACCCCTCTACTTGGCTTCATGATCTAATTTGTAGGGAATGAAAGTCCTGTGTAATTTGTTTCTGATTGAAGGATGGAATAAGGCAAGAAGGATGGATATGAGAAGAAGATTTTAAAATATACATTATACTAAATAGTGGCATCAAATTCTAGTTGTTATGGTTGGTTATTTTGATGGAAGATGGTTGTCTTTTTGTTTTGTATAGTTAATCTTGCATTAATCCACTCTGTTTAACAGATATACGCACATATCCGTGTGCACAAGCACACACACACACACGAACATATATATTCTTTCCTCAAAGTCGGGGGCATAGGCAGTAGGAATGTGTAGAATTCTCATTCACACCCTTTGGCAAACCTGGAGGAGTGATCAAACTTCGGTCAAGTCTCGTGTTCTTTCTTTGCATATTCATGCAGATTTGTAAGCACTAACTTCATATGAAAATCAGTACAATGTCACAGTGGATCACCAAAATATTTGTAGGCTTATTTCGCTTTAGATTCTCAAATTTCTATTTGGACAAGCTCATAGATAGATTGCAATTAAACCCTTTGTCAGATGATGCATGCCTATTTTCGAACTAATACCACTTCCTATATTGAATATGGAAGTTATGCTGATGATGATTTAATTTGATCATTACCTTTCAGCATTCCTAAACCACTTCCTGTATGCTTTCAGCATTACTTGTGTATTGGAATGTTTTTGCTCTAATAATTCAATTTGATCATCTTGAATGCCAAAGCATGCTACTCCTTCCAAAGATGCAAGTTTTCTGGGGAAGTTACAAAATCTTACATGTCCATATTCCCAACACTTTTGTCCAATCAAATTTTGATTCTTAGTACACTTGAAGCCTTGAAATTTATCAGGTCGAAAGGCTCAACAAGTAGGCATTTTAAAGCTTAGATGAGTTTCAGTAAATAACTATTTCTAGATGTAGTCTATTTGAGTGTACCTTTGGTTACTTGCAAAAGAGACAACTTAAAAAAGCATTAAACCATGTATATATTGTGTTTTTGGTCATGTACTGTGTATTGAAGTAGTAATTTTGTCAAATCCAACATAACCTATTTTATAGTTCTGAGAGGAGGCATGTGTTTGCAATAAGATGAATGAAAATAAAGATGTTTATTTTGTATGGAGGGCATGGTTGGGCTATGGATTTGATCTAGTTAAGGGGTAGAAGGTTGATATCTTGGCTTGTGCTTATGTATGTAAGCTATAAATGTTGAAAAATTTCAGAGCAACTTCTTAAGGTATGCATTTTTGTTATGTCATTGAAGTGGAAAGTCACTGGACTAAGTAGGAGATAGACAAGGTCAAAGGAATGTCTTATGCATTATTTGCTGGGAGTTGTGTGTATAAGTTTGTTGGGCCCTGATGTTAAGCATGTGGGCTCTGGAGTTTATCCTTGATGAATTGGGCTGGTGTTTTATTGTGCGCTTGTGGGCTTCCTAATTACCAATAACAATTGATATTAGAGCCGATGGTAGATGATCTATGGCCGGGCTGTCCTGGAGCATTGATGTTGC